TTAAAAGAACAAACGAAAGAAATTTTAATCATTAAAGGAACAAGAAAAGATTTCAATGAGAAAATCGACAAAGAAAATAACAATTATATTATTATTTAGGAAAAGACAACAAAAAGAAAAGAAGGAAATATTCATATAAATTTTTCAACAAGTGAAATTTCCGGATTAAAAGGCGCAGAATATATAAGAACAAACAAAAGAAATTTTAATTATTAAAAGAATAAGAAAAGACTGCAATGAGAAAGTCGAAAAAAGAAAACGACAATTATATTGCTGTTTAGGGAAAGACAGCGAAAAGAAAATTAGGAACAAGAAAAGAAACTGTGCACGGGAGTGCCGAAAAAACAAGTCTTAATTGAAGTAGTAGTATTAAAAGAACAAACGAAAGAAATTTTAATCATTAAAGGAACAAGAAAAGATTTCAATGAGAAAATCGACAAAGAAAACAACAATTATATTATTATTTAGGAAAAGACAACAAAAGAAAATCAGGAACAAGAAAAAGAAACTACACAGGAATGACGAAAAAACAAGTCTTGATAATTAAAGAAATACAACCGAAAGAAATTTTAATTGTTAAAGAAGACAACGGAAAGAAAATCAGTACGGAAAGGAACGAGAAAAGAAACTGTACACGGGAATAATTGTAGTTGCAGTATTAAAAAAACAAACGAAAGAAATTTTAATTATTGAAGGAAGAAGAAAAGATTACAATGAGAAAATCGACAAAGAAAAACAACAATTATATTATTATTTAGGAAGACAACGAAAAGAAAATCAGGAACAAGAAAGAAACTGTACACGGGAATGGCGAAGGAGTAATATTAAAGAACAAACGAAAGAAATTTTTAACTATTAAAACTATTAAAGGAAGAAGAAAAGACTGCAATGAGAAAATCGACAAAAAAAAAACGACAATTATATAAAAGTATGAAAAGGAAGAAAAGAAACTTGAAAATTACTTACTGGTAGTGATTGTTATCACTGGGCAAAGTTAGATCAGGGAATTATGTAATTTTGCCTAGTGGTGGCAAGCACTACCCAAAAAACTTTTAACTGTATACGGGAATGACGAAAAAACTATAGTATTAGAAGAATAAACGAAAGAAATTTTAATGATTAAAGGGAAAAGAAAAGACTGCAATGAGAAATAAAAAAGAAACTACGTTTATAGTAAAGAAAAAATTATGAAAAGGAACAAGAAAAGGGTTTAGAAACTCAATATACCGTATGATATTGAAAGCTAGCTAAGACTTGAAAAATTACTTCGTCCGGTTACACATGAATTTTAACAAATCGCCATTATTAATATTGTGGAAATGAAAAATTACCCGATTCAGAATATACGCACTATGGAAAAAAAAAATTTCCAATGGGACAAATTGAATATGATGAAAAATTTAAAGATGGAGCAGTAATGGAAACATTCGAAGAAACGGAATTAATAATTGATAGAGAAAAGCACGGATCTGTAAGATATACAGCATAGAAACGGACGAAATACCAAAATTGATAGAGCCAACAAAAAATGATAGAATGGAAAAACATAATGAAAAAAGTATAAATTATTTAGTGAAGAATCAAAAGAATCAGAATTATCGGAAAGAATTTCAGAAACACGTGAACAAGCAAAAGGGTGTACAGTAATACTTGGAACAATATTGCAAGAAGTATATTTTAAAATATGGAATAATATATAAGGACATGAGAGAAAACTCAACGGATATACAAACACATATAAATATTGGAATTGATATGAACAGAAGAAGATGAAGCAGCAGCAAACCTACGAGATGAAAATACAAGATATCTTCAAGCAAATGAAGTAGATTGGAGAAGTGGTAATCATAATGGAATATTACCAGAAGGAATCTGGAAAAGATTAGTAACGGCAACTGGAAATATTTATCATGTGCAAATCCAATAACACCAACAGGGGTAACTATTAACAGCAAAGCAATTCATGAGTCAAGGGGTTAAAAACCAGGAATGCTAGGGTATACTATATCACAGTTAGAAACACCATTTGGGTATGACGCGTACAAACGGAACAATACGAAGAATGAAAAGAAATATATACAACGGGAAGTAGGGATATATCATTCATTATGCGTGATGCGATTTAGATAATAATGATAACAAAGATCTTTTTAATAAATAAATTGTTTTTATTCTAAATCTTAAATAAATAATAATCTTTAATAGATTACTTAATGTTTAAACCTTTAAAAATGATTTCCGTCTATAATATTATGACAATCGATGCCTAAATTTATTATGGCAGCCTATAATATTTTTTGCAACCTATAATAATTTTCTATGTTACTTTCCTATACTGTATTTATTCAGCACCTTTTTTAATTAATATAATTTAGACAGCCGATATTATTTGTGGTTCTAATTATATATGCAAAATCATAACTACCAGGTTTGGGTAAAATCATCTGTTACGTTGTGTAACGTCTACGCATCATCTTATTATAAAACAGGCTCTGTTTAGAATTAATTTCTTTTTTTGGCGATCACGAATGTAATAAATGAACACGTAAATCATAATAATTTTGATATACAGCAAGGTTAAATTTTTTTTTTTATATAATAGTATGTAAAACCAACTACCTCAGTAAAAATGCGATAAAACAATAATTCAAATTTTGATGGTTGATATTGTAGGTTGTAGTAGGATGACAAACAACCTCATATACCGAGTATCAATGTAAGTCATAATAGGGTGACTTATTCTATAATTGTGTTTTTAAACTTGCGGAAATGTTGGCTGGACGAAGAAGCAATGTTTAATGAATGATATTTTGAGGGAATTTCGAACTTTTTTTTTGAAAGAGGCCACATAAGTTACAAAGCAATAAATTATACAATTAAATAAGAACACTTTTGTTCGATCTATTGATCATCTAACCAATCATACAAATAATATCTTTCACATGTAATAAATTGATTATTATTATTAAAATAAATAAATATAAGAGACACTTATCAATAGACTGGTATTTTACTTAATTACAATAATGATAATATTAAATTCATAATGAGGGTCTAGACATGTGATCAATCCGCAGATTGAAACGGATTGTATGAAATCACGGCTATAAAAAAGTATAAACCATTAGCGGTTGTTATGTTTGATCAATAATTTGTCACGCAGTTACATTTATACAATCACTTTTTTTTATAATAAAAAAAATGACGCACTAGTTAGTTTTTAATTAAAAATTTTGGGCACTAATTGTTTAAAAACGAAGTTTAATCAACAACCTCGTTTATTTCAGTTTTTGCTAACTCCATTATATTAATGAATTAAATTAATTTATGCAATAGAAATAGGATTGATCGAAGCAGTTGCACAGACTAATTGTTTTGTGAGCCCATTCCCAAGAAGAACGCGCAAATAAGATGTTCCTGTTGGCACGCCGTCAAATGAATGTTGTACATAAATAGAGCCTTCGCAAGCGGGTAAATTAGGTCTTCCACAAATAGGTGTGGTAGAGATAAATAATGGTGGATTTTTAAGATCTTGGATAAATGCAACGGAGAGAATAGTTCTGATTTGAGCTCTAGAATTACAAAAAACGGTGAAAGTAATTGTTTGTCCTTCAATGGGAGGATCAGGTGATATTTTTATACTAAAATCAAGACCGTTGTCTAAGCAACTTTCCCATTGAGTATCTCTTTTACTAAACTGATGCGACAAAGCATTTCCTACCGATAAAGTAGCTAGCAAAATAAATATGAATATAAGATTTTGATTCATAGTTTATTTTTGTAAAATAGAAATACTGTTTAAAATTTCTTTGAGTGAAAGTAAATTCATGGTTCTTTTTCTTTTATAAGAAAAAAAGTCTTTAAAAATTCACGATGATCAGTAATTAATCAATTTATTCCACGGTGCATTTTATTCCTCAGTACAATTTCTTTTTACATACTGGTTTTTTTAGTTATTCTGAAAAGCAGATGAATAGTCCTTACTGAAAATCTTATAACGTGATTCTATTACAATCGGCATCAAAATTTAATTTCATTAGAATCAGTAATTTTTAATCTCATCTTTTTTAACAAATCAATTAATGATTTAGGGTTTCATCCCCTTAACAAAGGCGATTATATTTGGGAATTTCAGAAATAGTAATATAGCAAATTAGTACGTGAATTTAGGGGTTTCTGAAATTAATATATTATGATTGCGAATTTAGTATAGTATGATATCGGAAATTGTATCAAAAATCAAGAAAATAATAAATTTAATCTTTAATCGTTACCCACACTAGTCTCGTTAAATATTAAAGATATTTACCAACTATCTTATATGAAATTATAGCTAAAAAATAATATCTACAACTTTAATTAGAAGAATTTTTTGTGATATCTAATGAAAATTCGAACTTCACTTAGATGTGAATAAAATCGGCTGAAATTTATTATAAATATTTAAAAAAAAAAATCCGAAAATAATTATCGATCGTTTATACATACATATAACAATAAAAAAATTTACTAAGTAACATTAAAGCTAAGAATATGGGGGGATCTCATGTAAGTATTCAATTGAAATTGAATGAATAATTGGCGATTAAATTCTAGAGAATAATTTTTGAACGCTTGGTGTTCAGCCGTTAATTCTTAAGAAAAAAATACGAAAAGTTTATATGAGACGCTCCGTATCTTTAGCCATAAGTTTAATTAGTATCATATTTGTAGTTTTATTAGTAAATAATAAAATTTTATATGTAACAATGTGGTAATTCTTTTTTGAATTTTCTTTTGATTGAAAATGGAAGATAAGTTTCTTGTACTATTTTATTAAATACACGACTTATTAATCCACTTTTGGCAAATTTATTAATTGTTTGTCTAGTTGTTCATCTTTTCTAGAAAAATAAAATTCAAGTCCTCCATTAATTTCTTGATTCACATAAAATAGTTCCAATTGATAAACTTGTATAATTAGGTTCCAAAAAAATAGTTGCAATAGCTGATTTATAATAATCCTCTTTTTCTTAGTGAATCTATCTGTTGAGAAAATGTACACTCACCTATCAAAAGTATTGGACCAGAGGCTTTTTTAAAAAATTTATTAACATTATTCAAAAGTCAATTATGGCACAACGAATAACCGAAACTGTGTAAACTTTTTTTTTTTTACTAGATTCCCCTGAACTAGGGTCATCATATAACTCATTTGTGTTAAAATTGAATGCCTACAAGTGGAGTAATTACACTTCAAATAAAAGTGACAATAAATAATAATTTTAATCTTTGAACGTTGCCCATACCGGATTCGATGGATATTAAAGATAAATGCCAACTATCCGAGAAATGATATTTACAACTTTAATTAGAAGTATAATTCATAGTATCTAGTAAAAATTTGGACTTTACTTAGACGTGAATAAAAACCACCCAAATTTAATAAAAAAAATATGAAAATAATTATCGATCGTTTATTCGTCTGTAATTTTACTATTTGTTAATAAAACAACAAAAGTGTTACTAAGTAACCCTAAAGCCTAATACATAGAGCATCTTCTGTAAAAATTTTAGTCCTATGTATTGGGAATTGAGTGAATAATAAATAATTAAATTTCAGAGAATAGGTTTAAAACGTCTGATATTAAACCGTTAATATTAAGTCCAATTCCCAATTTAAAAATTTGAAATTTTCACAGTAGATGCTCTATATAATAGTCTTTAACTTTATTTAGTACCATTTATATTATTATATTAATAGATCAAGAAGTTTGATATGTAGATACGATTAGTAATTATTTTCAATTTTTTTTGATCTTTTTAAAAATGATCGACACGAATTTTTTACTATACTAAATTTTCAAACGATGTTGGAAAATTCTAAAACTTTTGCAGTAGATGCACTTAATTTTTGGCTTTAATATTACTTAGTATAACTTTTACTGTTTTATTATTAAAAACAAAAGTTTTATATGTGATAGCGATTGGCAATTATTTTCGAATTTTAAATCCATGTCGATTATTTTAAAAAAATCAAAAAAAAAAATTTTGAAAATAAATACTAATCGTATCTACATATTAAACTTCTTTATCTATTAATATAATAATATTAATGGTAGTAGGTAAAGTTAAAGACTATTATATAGAGCATCTACTGATAAAGTTTCGGATTTTTAAATTGGGAATTGGACTTAATATTAGCGGCTGAATATCAGACGTTTTAAAATTTTTCTTTGAAATTTAATTATTTATTATTCACTCAATTCCTAATATATAGGACTGAAATTTTTACAAAAGATGCTCTATGTATTAGGCTTTAGGGTTACTTAATACCACTTTTATTGTTTTATTAACAAATAGTAAAATTACAGACGAATAAACGATCGATAATTATTTTCATATTTTTTTTATTAAATTTGGGTGGTTTTTATTCACGTCTAAGTAAAGTCCAAATTTTTACTAGATACTATGAATTATACTTCTAATTAAAGTTGTAAATATCGTTTCTGGCTACAGTTTTATATAAGATAGTTGGCATTTTCTTTAATATCCATCGAATCCAGTATGGGCAACGTTCAAAGATTAAAATTATTATTTATTGTCACTTTTATTTAAATATTTAAAGTGTAATTACTCCACTTGTAGACATTCAATTTTAACACAAATGCATTATATGATAACCCTAGTTCAGGGGAATCTGATAAAAAAAGTTTGCACAATTTCGATTATTCGTTGTGCCATAATTGACTTTTGAATAATGCTAAAAAAAGCCTCAGGTCCAATACTTTTGATAGGTGAGTGCATCAAACATTTGATTTTTTTTTTATTACAATATACTCGAGTTTTTTTCTTCTTTTGCATTATAAAAAAGTACACCTTCAAAATATTTATCTAATGTTGGAAAAAAACAAATGGATTTTCATTTAAGTTCAGGTCTTATATGTATAAGTTCTTGTAAAGCTTCTTCTCTTTTTTGTTTTTTTGATAAAGTAATATTAAAAAAAATACATTTAATTCTTTTACCATTTTAAGCGTGAAATAAAGATTTCTAATAATTAAAGATATAAAATATAGCTGATTCAGTTTTTTATAAGGCTAAAAAAAACAAATCAAATTTAAAAACTATTAACACGAATTCTTAGTGATCATCTTGATACGATTATTTTTAACGCGTTAAAGTTGGACAAAAATTTCTTTTACATAGTAATACTTTGTAAATTATATATAACTTCAGATCTGGGGAGATTTGATGACGATCATTTTTCTAAATTATGTGTGTGTAACTATCATGACTATCCTAAGTGTAACACGAGAGAACATCCTATAAATTTACCCAATCGTCTTCCCACACAAAAAAGGAGTAGATGAATAATGTTGTACGACAAACTCGAATAATCAATAAATTGTTCTATTTTGAAAATATGTTGTGTCAAATGTAAATGTTCCAGATTCAATATATTCATTTATGTTCTACATATTCAAATTAAACACAAAAAGCAATTTCCATATTTGAATACCTTTTTAAACTGTGATGTACTAATTTGTTTTTATTTATTTATTTATTTCTTTAAATTTTTTTTTATTTTCCTCACGTTTAGTCATTCATTTATTATATATCATCTTCAGAAAAGTTTCTACCACAGACTGGCAGCTTTATTTTCAAGTAAAGCTACCAATTTTCCCTTTCTTACCGACATCCCCTACATCTATACCACAGTTCTCGAAAATTACCTTGAACAACCTTCCTCAACCCATAACACATAAAGACGCAACACGAACTTGGTTTTAAAGTTAGCATTTGACTTAATAAATATATTAATAGTATTATTGAGTTAACCTTTTTGTATTCATTCTAACAATTTTTTGGATTAATTGAAATATTATTTATTGTGAATGATTGGAGAAAAATCGAATCCTCGAGATTCTTATTACTCTTCTTTAATTGATGAGTACATGATAAATTCTACACGTGACGCAAACCCGCCCACTACAGCGTGGAATAACATCACAAATGATATTAAGAAACGTCCATCATTAAATCTTCATACCCGAAATAGTAGTATAAGTAGTCTGAAACGTCTTCCTTCTTTTAATTCTCAAACACCAAAGAATCCAAATCCAACTAATCACTCAAATCAAATTAGTTTGATGTTTAATTATACCACTAACCCTGGATGTTTAGCGTCACCCCCACCAAGTCCAGGATACATGTTCTCCGAATATAATTCATATAACAGGTCACATCATAATTTAGAAAATAAAGATATCAATGATAGTTTAACAGTTCCTCAACAATCCCGAAAACGATCAATGGAAAGCTTAAGTTCAGGTAGTTGTAACCAAGAAGATCTGTATACAAGACCATCATCAGCAAGTAGTTATTATGAGGAAGAAGTTAGGAATACTCCAAAAATTAATCCAACAAAACGTAGCTCTTCACGGCAAGATTCAAATAATTCTGATAAACGACAAAGTGATGCGGATAGGTAAAAATATATATATATATATATATATATATATATACACTTTGAAAATTGGTTGATTTCAGAAGAAAAATTTTTTATACGAGAAACTTTTCATTATAAATTTATAGAGATCGATATGGTTTTCGAAGATCTTATGCATGGATAACTCATAAAGAATATTCCGATTTCGAATCATCATATAATCAAGTATTACAACGCCGTAAACAAAAATGGGATACGTTATTAAATGAACATGGTGGATTAATTCCTGGTAGATCAGCCAAAAGTAATTATAAAATTTATGGAGGGAGGATTAAAGATCATGTGTTTATTTCAGTCATTATAGGGATTATGATTATCATTGTTGAGCATTATTAAAAAAAAATAATAATATTTATTTATTTATTCAACAAGTGAAAAGATATATACGTAAAGGTATTCCACCGAAACTTCGAGGAAAGGTAAACATTTCGAAATGAAATAATAATAATATATTCAATTATTTACTTATTCATTATTATTTATTCATCATCATCATTATTATTATTTATTATGTTTAAAGATTTGGTTTCATTATAGCGGTGCTGAAGCAAAAATGAAGGAATACGCGGGTCTATATCAACAATTTATATTAAAATCACAAGATCCCAACCTGGAAAATGAATTCATTGAAGTGATCGAAAGAGGTTTGATATGATATTAATATTTTTTTTCTCAATAAGAATTCATCGTTTATTATTATTATTATTTGTTGTTGTTAATTGTTAATATTCATTTAAAAATCATATTTTTTAGATCTTCATCGGACATTTCCTGAAAATATAAAATTCAAATCTACCGTAATAATTGATGATAATAATTCATCCGTTATTTCAACTGATAATGTTCCAATTATTCAATCATTACGTCGAGTCCTTACAGCATTTTCTCTATATTCACCAAATATTGGATATTGTCAATCATTAAATTATATTGTTGGTATACTCTTGTTATTCATGGAAGAAGAAAAGGCATTTTGGACATTAGTAACAATAATTCATGATTTTTTACCTGAAAATATGTATGATGTTACAATGGAAGGTTCCAACGTTGATCAAGCTGTATTAATGATGTTCATTATGGAAAAGATGCCTCAAATTTGGAGTAAACTTAATGGAGGATTTAGTTGGGATATAGAAAAATTGGATGGAAATCTACCGACCATCACTCTCGTTACAAGTCATTGGTTCCTAACACTTTTTATTAATATATTACCAATTGAGGTGATTTAAATCTTTATTAATTTTTATTAATTTATTAATTTTTATTAATTTATTAATTTTTATTAATTTTTATTAATTTATTAATCTTTATTAATTTATTAATTTGAATGTTATTTTATTATATATATATATATTTTTCCTCTAACACTTTTCTTTTTTTTTCAATTCTTCTTCTTTCAATAAATGTTTGATTTTTATTTAGACTTTATTGAGAGTTTGGGATTGTTTTTTTTAGTAAGTTGAATTTTTTTTCTTGTTCATTTAATTTTATTATTAAAAGAAATCGTAATTAACGTTTTATGTCTTAACATAAAAAATAACAGTGAAGGTAACAAAGTACTTTTCCGAGCAGCATTGTCAATATTCAAATTAAATGAAGAAAAAATTTTGGCAGTTGATGATCCGATGGAAATATTTCAAGTGGTTCAAGTAATTAAATTTCGCTTTTTTTTTTAATTTTATTTTTGTTATCACACGTGATACTAACACTCTGGATATTTTAGAACATGCCAAAACGATTAGTAGATTGTCATAAACTAATTGACGTAAGATTAATTTATGAATTCTATTTTTTACCATAAAAGAAATTGTATTAATTGTATAAATTATCATTGACTTTTTAATGACTCGAAAATATTTATAGATGTGCTTCCGTCGTCGTAGAGGATTAACAGACATATCTCAACTTGAGATTGATCGACATCGAGAATTCTTTCGTGAAAGACGGAAAAAACGTGTTGCCAAACATTAAATAAATTAGGGTATAATAATTATCGGTTCTCACTTTTTTTTTTCTATTAGGAGATTATATTCAATGAACAATGAACAATGAACAATTTAATATAATAGTATTTTTTTGATTTATACCATTTTTTTATAAAATATTTATTTTGGGTAAAAAAAATTTTTTTTTTTTCAAAAGGAAACTGAAATTAAAAAAAAATTCCCCATTGATGAAAAATTAAATTAGCATTATATAAATCACGAATGTGTAAAATAAGTAGACAAATTGATGACATTAATTTTTTACACGATTTTTTGATGTATATACTAAATTTCTTACAGTAAACAAACGTCATTTATGACGCTATTTTTAATTCATGATTAGTAATAATTTTCCGTACGTTTAATTTGATATACTAAATAAATATAAAATAATTAAAAAATAATTATAAAGAATTTATTTTTTCATTTTTTTAAAAAAAATTATGAGTGAACCAACTGGAACGGTATCAACACAAGAAGGAACGAAACAACCTACAACTGTACTAACTCTACAGGAAACACCTTCTCCCTCGACCATAGCTGACAACAATATTGTTAACGTACAACCATTGCCCCAAACTCAAGCTCGTATTTCGGGTACAATACGCGGTAGAGGACCTGGTTTCACTGGTGGACCCGGATTATTTGAAGTTTCACCTACAGGAGAAATACTTCATGAAAGTATTCCTCATAGCAAAGAATTAGAACATCTTGCTGAACTGAAAGAAGTTGCTTCAGAATATACTCGTGGAGGTGTTGGAGTTTCTAAGGGTAGCCCCGCAAGTATTGCTCGTAAGTAATCAAAATGATTATTTTTTTTTTCGCGTATTTTGATTAATTAATTATTTTACACATATTTCTTTCTTTTTTTAGAATCAGCTTTAGGGAAATATGCAACCGCCATCAGGTTAGACAATAATAAATTTTATTGAAAAATTTGATTTTTGATCATTAAAATTATATAAAATAAAATAAAAATTAAATCGAATAAAGCGAAGAAACTGGAATTCCTCCTTTAACTGTTCAGGGCATGGTACTACCATCTGGCCAAGTTGATGAGGAGAAATTGGCTCGTGAATTAAAGGTTTTTTTTTTAAATTTACATTTTTATCTTTCTACATTATCTTTGAAATTAAAATATAAATTTTAAATTCTTTTCTATCAAATTTAATAGGAGGAAGCTCAACAACGCGCCATATATGAAGCTCAACATATAGGACGTATTCCTATAGCTGGACCGGCATCTAAAGTTGAAGAAGCGGCTGAAAAAATTGAGCAGATTGTTAAAATTGATAAGGGAGAAGAACGAACACCGTCACCGGTACAACCTCCAAATAAAAGTCAATACGGTCAAGTAAGTCAATACGATCTAGCGGGTGGTCCATATATCCAAAATCCCGGTGGAGGGTTGTTTTCTTCTATATTTTCCACTGTAATACCAGAGACTGGTCAAATATATCATGAAAATATTGAACAAAGTAAAGAATTTCAACACCTTTCGGAATTAAAAGAAGTTGCATCCGAACGTGCTAAACGTGAGGTCGTTGGAACGGGGATTCCTCGTGGAAGTACCGCTGCGATTGCACGTAAGTGTTAGTCGCAATCAAGTTACACGTGTACTTTTAAATGTTATTAAATATTCTTCATATTATATATATTATATAGAATCAGCGATGGGCAAATACGCATCCGCAATAGGGTATTTTATTTTTTTATTATTATTTTTTATATAGTTATAAATACTTTAACCATTATACCTTTTATCGAAAAATAAAGCGATGAGATTGGTGTACCCGCTTTGGCAGTTCAAGGTATGGTGCCTATTGCCCCGTATGAAGTCGATGAAGAAAAATTAACTGAAGAGCTCAAGGTTTTTTTTTTTTTTTTTTTAAAAAAAAAAAAATTTAATAGATATAAGGTGATACACTTGTAATAAAATTAATTTTTTTTTTCTTTTTTAATTTTAAAGGAAGAAGCTAATATTCGCGCAGAATATGAAAAACAAGTGTATAGATATTTACCAATTACGACTCCCGCTTCAAAGGTTGACGAAGCTGCAAGAAAAATGGAGAAAGTATTGAGAATTGACGAAGGAAAAGAAGCTCCTCCGAATCGAGCTTCTATGCAACCTCCTGCTACGAATATTGGTGATGAGACTACCGCTGCTGAATTACGAAAAAATGAATTACCTACTACTTTTGTTGGTGGAACTGGCGGTTTAGAATCACAACGACATGTAATTTCATCTTTAGATCAAGAACAAAGAGATAAAATTCAAAAAAAATCCGAAGAGAATCAACTTACCGAAAGGGGATCATTACCATTAAATGAAGAAGTAACAACTGCAGCGGAAAGTTCCAAATCAGAACAACAACGAGAAATTCCAGGGCTGCAACAATAAACTTAAATATTTTATTCGTGTCTTTATTATGCATTAATTATTTTCTTTCATGTGCAATAAATTTAATCATGTACTTTACTTAGGAAGTTTCGGAAATGAATGCTTTTAGTTATGAAAAATATATATACATGTAATGTAATAAATTTTATTTGTAATTGAGAATTACATGTAATGCCATAATTTTTTTTTGTTTCCTTAGAAAAAAATGTTGACTTAATGGGGTGAATAAATCATATTTTAAAAATGATGTAATAAAAAAAAGTGATGAAAAAGAAAAAAATTAAAAAACTGTACACATGCAAATGACGTGAATTATGGACAAATGAAAAAAGAGATTATTTACGAATAAAAAAAAGATGATCTTGCCAATTAATAATGTAAAATGAATGCAAGTTGAATATTTTGCCAATAAAAAATCGAATCGAAGAGGTGACCAGACCATTAAATTATGCTACAGTTTAGATTGTCGTCAATCTTCATAATGTCAAAGGTAAGTCTCTCGTATATATTTCTATAAGTTTTTGTCGATATTTAACAATATTTAACCGCTAACTACATGTTTTAAAACAGTTACATCAATTTTTCTAGATGCACATTTCGTTGATGATGACGGTGATAATTTAGATATTAAAGCTCCTGGAACTAATATTTCTAAAACATTTCGAATGTTCGTAGTACATCCTGAATCTATGTCAACAAGTTTCACAAGTTCAATTGGATATAATGATTCTTTCGTCGCAATAAAACGTAAAGCTACTGATTCACTTGATGAAGGACGAATCGGTCTAAAATTTGAATAAAGAAATTATAAGAGACATGCGCCTTTGTCACTGAGTTCGAAAAGAAAAGATAAGATACATTACTTACCCAATTTGAACTCTGTTATCTAAACAAACGAGATCAGCTGCTGGTGTCTCATATTCTAAATGTCTATTAAGAAATTCTTTATAATAATTATAATATTTAAAACATATCAGTAATTTTGTCTTTAAATTAATAATGATAATCTTAAAATTTTGAATTATTTATTAAAAAATATCCTCCCTACCAGCTTCGTCCATAAAAGGTTGTATGACGCAATTACGACTTTTGGAAGATGATGTAAAGGATGACAAAATTTTGGAATTTTTACTAAAATAAATTATTTTTAAATGTAAAATTATTGGTCAATACGGAAAGAAAGAAAGAGATATATACTTGATTCAAAAATATCTTAAGATGATAAATAATAAATAACTACTTACGCGCCATAAGATTGAGATTTTTTTTTTTTGTTTGGAACAATTATTGAAAATTTTCGGGTGTATTTTGATTTATTTACTATGAATGCTCGCACTGAGAATATCTTGCCAACTGCGACTTCAGAATCAACTAAAAAATTTAGATTCCAAGCAAGTTAATTATATATATAATTATTGCACAATAGAATACACAATATACGTAATTTGTATGATATATTCGAAAATAAAATAAAAAACTTACTGGAAAATGACAATGTAACACTATCTTCGACATCAGTCATCTCATAAAAAGAATCTTCTATCATAGGAGCTCTACCACCAAAAAGAATTCCATTGTTATTATTACTATTATTGACGATTGTTGTTGATTCACTACAGACAGATGAACTATCACTTAAATTCGAATTCAACATCTGTTTATTTTTCATTACGTAAAAATTATTCAATATTGTAGAATAATAATTTTTTGTAGTAGAAGTAGTAGAAGAAGTAGTAGTAGAAGTAACAGAAGAAGTAGTAGTAGCAGTAGAAGAAGAAGTAGTAGTAGCAGTAGAAGAAGAAGTAGTAGTAGCAGTAGAAGAAGAAGAAAAAGTAGATGGAGTGGAAGGTGTTGTAAAACCATTAGAAGGTAAATTCACAATAGAATTTCTTGAAGAAGTTTGAGATAAGCCATACTTTGAAAAAAGTGATATTGGACGTTTCTTTCTCATAATCGAATTATCACGTCGAAGCAAACTTGATAAATCAAGCGTACAATTCCATTTAGATTCTATAGATTTAACTTTCTTTTGATCAATTATTGGCGACCCTTTTACAAAAATTAAAAAAGGACGTTGTCGTTTGACATTATTATTATCATCATCATCCTTATCTTTGATCGACTGTTCATAATTTGAAAATATTGATGCAACTGAACTTCGGCGTGAAGATGGTTCTGAATTTGATGAGGTACGACGATGTAGTGAAGGTGATGGTTGGGGAGGTGATGGTTTGGGAAGAGATGGTGTTTCTAATATTGACACATTATATAAAAATGATACTTGATCAATTGGTTTAAGAATTAATGGGAGTTTATCAGTGGAACCATCTTGTATCGCTTCATATCTTGTTACAAAACTATTTGGAATATCAATTTTAATTGATTCAACCAAAAATGAATTCTTGGTATCTTCATCTTTATTTTCTAATGAAACCAAAATCATTAATGAATTCTCTTGAGGTGATATTCCAATAGTTCGCATTCGTACATTTAACGCATTTTTCAATGATAAAATTTTTTGACAAGTGTATTTTGTTGGAGTTAATTTAGGATAAATACTTTGTCGTTTTGATTCAGTAACTTGAATTTGAGGAATATGAAAATTTATATCTTCAGATTCAAAAGTAGGATCTATTAAAAAAAAAATGGAATCATTATATAATCATTCTTTGTAGAAGTTATGTAAAAAAAAAAAAAAAATTAATTAATTAATTAATTAATTAATAAATCGAAAAGTGATTTTTTACCTTCACATAATCCCGCTAACAAATTCATTCTTCCAAAATTATTAATATCATACATATCGTCTTTGACTTTTTTAATTATTTGATTTGGTGTTTCTAAAAATGGTAACAACGATATAGTAGCGTTTAATGCTAATGCCGGAAACGTAAAACGCGTTTTTACATATGCTAATAATTATTAAAGAAAAAATAACATATACATATATTAATTATTAATATACAATCATATGTATACAAAACGTGTTTTATTTGCGTTAGTTTGTATTTTGGGATATCATACTAACATATTGGTAAAGATATTGTCCATACGCTTTTCCAACAATTATCGTGTTCCAAAATTATTGCTTGACGATCTTTTTGACTAGTTTTAAATTTTGTAGAAAATATATTTATTGGGTCAAACATTCGTAATTTATCAAATGATCCAGTCATTGAAGCAGCGGAATTTGAACGTGATTTTCCAGATGAAAAATGATTTGGTGATTGTTGAGGAATTGTTGTTGAAGAATTATTATTATTATTATTATCATTAATAGATTCAATTAAAGAAGCCTCAAAATTAATTTCCAATTGTTTAAAAAATGTTTTGGCTACGGATTTATCAATCATATTCGAATCCGTTTTCGGTAAACTAATAACGAGATAAAGATATAAAAGTTCATCTTTTTGATTTTTAAAAATTAAAAAAATATTGGATGATATTGATATCAGATAATATTAAAAAAAAAAAAAAATTTTTTTATTATTAATATACTAAATAAAAAAATTATAAAAAAATAATGTAAATAAAAATTTCAAATGATAAATACCGTAAAATATTTGAGTTCTACTTTTCTCGGTGAATAATGTTTTGATGTTATCTTTTGTAAAGATGTCATTGGAGGTAGAAACAATAATTTCTGATATCGCTTCATTTATTAATACTTCGCGAGATATCATTGTAATTTTTAGATAAATAATTAAACAAAAATAATAAAATTGTAAGGTTGAAAAAAAGTTGAAGGGAAGAGAATGGAAAATTTAAAAATCGGTAGGAAATAATACAACGATAAATATAATTATTGCATCACACAATAATATATTAACTAACATAAATCAGTTATACAGATCTTCACACGAAAAGGAAAACAAAAAAGAAATTATTCGATTTTGTATATGATGTGTTACAAATGAATTTTCTACCAAATTCCGGCGGGACGGATAATGTTGAAAATGTAATTGTTTAATTATGTGAAACAGAATAAATTTAATAATAATAATTAACCGAAATTAACCGAATTTACCAATGAATGTGGGAGTCGATGAAATGGTTTCTTTAGAAATTTTTTTTTTTTTTTTTTTCACAAAGAATAAATCATAAAAGGTAATTGATTGCTAAATTACTCTGATTAATGATGACGGAATAATGGAATAATGACATTCGGGAAATAAATAAATAAATAAAAGTTAAGCATATTTTTTATTTTTAGTTTTAGTATACAAATAATAATTTTAAAAGAATTCCTCAATAATAGTGAATTTTGAAAACGTGGCTCCGAAATACAATTCCATTTTTTCTCTTTAACGAAAATTATTTCCTTACTTTTGAGGCGCATTACCTTAATAAAAATAATGAGGTGAGGCTGATTGTTTTTTTGTTTTTCGTATAGAGAACTAATAATTATTTTTTTTTACATAGGAAAGAAAATGATTGATTCGAGAGTTTGCATCTGTGCATTGGAAATAGAATAAGGGTAAATTAATTAGTTCCATAATTTAAAGTATTAAAACAGTTAGTATATTGCATGCATCCATCTAATAACATTCGTTGGGTTTTAAGAAACGCGTGTTATTTTTCATGCATTGCATCTATTAATGTTTATTAATTCCCTCATATTTTTACTTATTATTATTTATTATTAACAATGATAAAATAACTTCGAAATTACACAAATTTGGTAACTGCACAACGTTAGCCAATTTTAATGTATACAAATAAAAATCCTCATTGAATTTAAAGAATTAGGAATTTAAAAAAAAAGAAAATACAGAAATTATATTATTTAATATATACAAAATAAGATTGGTATTAATAACTTTAATTTCGTTATGGAAATGAAAATAGTTTATAATTAATGGTAATTTATAATAACTATACATTTTCGGCGACAATTTTTAATGTACACAACATATTGTATGTCTTTTTAAATACAACAAAGGCACTACAGTGAAATTTGGTTTCACGATTTAAAGACATCTTCAAACACGTTTTAAAATAACCGATTATTATTATAAAATTCTATTCAGACGATTCGAATATGTGATTTATGTCATTCACCACCAAATACTTTCATATAAATATTTGGCTAACCCTTCATGTAAATCAAATTGACATGAACATGAGATTATCATTGAAATTTAAAATTATAATGTTTTTAATGAAATGATCTTAAAATACTTCATAATCTACAATAGAAGATATTTCATTGATTGTTCCAAGAAAACTATAAAAAATCTGAAACATTTTGATGTATGTATAATCATTTAATAAATAAATTGTGAGAAGAATGATTTAATTTGCTGATTTGAACGTAAAAAAAATACTATATATGTCGTTTCTTTAATACAACTGCACTTGAGAAAATAACGAATATGTGGTAAGCATTATTTTTAAAGTCAAAAGTTTTCATTAGATCATTCATTCGATTAATTCATAAATAACATTTGTATCTACATTTTTCCACATTAACAATTCTATCATAAATATATTATTTTTATTTACAGTGGTATTCGTTAATTCATTCTTAAATTTAGGATTTTCAATAACGTAAGACAGTGTGCGGTGGAAGATTTCTCAACTCCAATAGTGATATTATTTTTCTTCATTGTCATTAAGAAGTTGAAATAATTTTTCAAGTAATTTAAGACATTTTTTAAAGTCAAATAGTAATAAAATTTAATTGAGAATGAATTGAGGAAGAACATAATACATATATATATGTATTGCAGTTGGTTTGATACTCGGTGATGTCAAATGACTTGTCATTTATTTTTTATATTAATAAATAATAATTATATAATCATGAACAAATCCTTGTATTTATTTTATTATTGTGAAAAAAACTTATTTAGTGTCAAAATTATAATAATTTCTATTTGTTAATATTAATGGAAACAATCGATCGATCAGTGGAACTAATTTTTTTATTGGTTATTCAAATGACTTTTCAAATGACCAAATGACTCAGTCATTGAAGGTCATTTCAAAAAAATTATCCTCCTAAAATTCTTTGACTTTATCGATTATAGTTGAAAAAGGTTGGATCATGTTGACAAAATAATTGATTTAGATATTGTATTAAATCATCCCAAAATTTTTTAAAGTCCATTCTTAATTTCACAGGTTCCCACTTGATTACATAACCCCAAACATTGGTCTTCCGCCACGCTGATTCTTGAAATTTAAAATCTTCGGATTCAAAAATAAGATTTGAATACTTTGTGATAATATTATTATAAAAAATTTTTTGAACGAAAGAAAAAGAGAGTTTTTGTTCATCTACATTTTCCAAATTTATAGTTCCACAATAAATATTATTACAAAAATACTTATACTTTAATATTTAAAGTATTTTAATTGTTAAGAATAATTTCAAATATTTGAACAGAAATATTTGATAATGGTTTTGGTTCGAAGTCAAGGTAGGATGAACGATAACGCGGTAAAATATTTTTTATTTTCAACTTCAATTACAATATTGTTCATGTATATATTTATGTAGGAAGAGCAGATAATTACCTTATATGCAGGCTACACACAATTAAGCGAATGCACCAAAAGTCAATAAAAAATATTTACCCAAAAAAACTTTTTGTATGTGCAAGCATTAACTCAATCTAAACGAGAAAGCAAAGGGTCAGTCCTCGATAAATCCACTTCTTTATTAAATAATTCACTGCTTTGCTGAATATCAAATATCAAATCTGGCAATAAAGCTCCTTCCCAGGATTGATTTTTCCCAATCTTTTCAATATTTTTTTTAAATTGTTCGCTATTACCATTGTTGAGACTGCACTTGATAAAACCAATGTCCACAGTCACTAATATCGATTTCCCTATTGGATGATATGTAACCTTAACGAGGAGTAGTTTTTGAATAGACCTAATGTTAATTTTTGAGTTTGTTGTTACTTAAAAAGAGATACTTTATTTGAAAGTAAAATTAAAACGAGCATTGAAGTTTTTGGAGGAGACATTCAGCAACCAAGCCTTAATTATGCTCGGGCTTGCAATCCTATGAACTTTTAATTTTATCAAATTGTACTTCGCTTTATTTCCAACTTCATTATTTTGTTAGACAAGTGTGTTAGCACTGACTTTAATTCACTTCCCTTTATTCATATGTGTACATTAATTTTTATATTCTTCAAAAAACAAAGAATAAAAAAATTCATGCAGATTTAATTAAATTTTTAAGAAAGTCGAAGATGGATAAATAATTTTACTGACCCTTGTTTTAGTGAAAAAAAAAAATCAACTTTGCTCATATTACTTTTTGTCACGGTAAATTATAAAGAAAATTGAATGTTATAAAGATGAAGTTTCAGTTAATCTTCTTTTGGGCTTGGTAAATTCTATTAATCACCTGAGCCCTCACAAGATTTTTATTAAAAAAGGAACAACGCAAAGAGAAACAAAAAAACCAAGAGGGAAAATGAATAGAGAAAAGTAGTAAAAAAGCATACGATAAAATGTAATAGAAGAATTAATAAAAAGGAGAAACAAATTCCAAAGTTGAAGATTTTCTTTTGTGAATTTATTAGAATATAATCAAGAATTAATTCAGGTAATAGACTAAGTTAATTTAGTTGATTTAATTCAAGAGAATTCTAATTTATTAAAAAAATTTAAAGAAATTTACATGCAGTAATTTAAGATTTTATTGTTAACTTTTTCAAAAAATTTTTAATTTGTGATTTCACAAAGAAACAGAGGAAACTTTGCTTTATTCAAGTTTCAAAAACTGTTGTCTTGGGAAATTATGTTTAGCAACATTGTTTAAAAAAGTATTAAATAATATACGTATATTATTCTTTTTTTTCAAATAATATAGTAATAATCATACATTATCAAATAATCAATTTTATAAACCACTAAAGTATATATTTTGCTGTTATCCATCTCACGAAGGATTATATATTATGAATACATTTCTATTTTTTAATACGTTCACGATTCATGTTAGATATCAAAATCCTACATCTCTAATAAACTAGCATAGTAATAAACATTGATGATTTATAAGAATAATACAATTTGTAAGTTTTCCATTCTTATTTAAAAAAAAATGAATAACTTTTATTAAAAGAAAATTTGAATTAAAGATTGGTTCTAGTTAGTAACTTAATGTTATTACATTGAAAAATATTCTGCAATTTGAATATTAGGTGTAAATTATATTATCCAAAAAACAATAAATTTATTAATTGAGATATTAATTATACAATGTTTTTTTCGGGATAATTGCATGTATAAATTAAACAATAATTAATTATTTATTTATTTTAAGTGATTACATACTGGACTATTTTAATTTAAATAAAAATTATATTCTATAAATCCAATGGTCAAATAAAATAAATATAATAAACATAAATATCGTAAAAAAAATATTTGAGATAAAAAAAACTGCAGTTACAAATTAACAGATTAAATATCTTTTCTAACTTTGATAAAATAATATAACATCAAAACTAAACAATTGACAAATTTCCAACAAATTAAAAGATTAATTTTCTGGAATTCAACTATACAAAATTTAAAGATGTTAATTATCTCATTAGTTAGATAAATGGATTAAATAAATAATTCAAGAAATACCGTATTCAATTATTCATCAGGAACTTCAAAATTCCCACTGATTTGTATCTAAAATAATAATTAATGTAAATATATTTTTTTTTAAAAAAAAACGAAATTATTCAAAAAAATATAATTACCATGTACATTTGTTTCAACTTGCCTACTTTTATATATTGCTTGAGGATGTGTTATTTTTGGATCATATGGAATGAAATCAATATTTGCTTCATTCATTGCTTTAATTTGTTTTTTAACTTATCATTAAAATCATACTCTTTCTGAATATCTTCTAAGCTGAATTTTCAATTCTTTAGCAGTTGGACGATCAAGAGGATCCATATTCCAACATTTTTCCATTAAATCTTTGAATAATTAAGGAATTTCACACTTAATTTCAGGTTTAAGCCCTTTGCAAATGTTCATTACAAAGATTTGCATCATGTGGAATATTATAATAAGGTGGATAACTAGTAATAACTTCTAACATAATCATACCAAAAGAATATATGTCAGGTTTTCGAGTGTATTCGCTTTTAATCAATGTCTCGTGTGCCATAAATGGAATCACTCCATAAATGTTTTCTTTGATTATTTTCAGAAACTGATTTACACGAACCAAAACCAAACTCATGAATTTTAGTAAGTCCAACAATTTTAATTTCCCAAGGTAAATCTTTAAAAACATTATTCAATACATTTCGTAGACTATCATGTTCTACATATTGTATAACTATCATATATTCATTTTCTGGATTTACAGTTATGCCATAAATTGTAATTGCCCATTCACATCGAAATTTGAGTTGATTTTTTATCTAAAATATCAATTAATATTATATATTGATAAATGTTAATTTAAATAATAAAAATTAGAAACATATAAACATTTTAACTCTTGTAAAGATGAATTAGTTATTGAATTAATTAAGACCTTTTAAGAAAACATATGGATAGATTGTTCTATTCCCAAATTTTTAATTCATGATTCCAAGATTTAAATATATCCATTATACTGCATTGCCCTGTAAACCTTGCCAAAGCCTCCTTTAGTAACATATACAAAAATCATCAAATCTATCAAATGGAATTAATTCATCACAATTATTTGCATTGAGTTGAATTTATTTAATAAATTGATCAATTTTTACTTCTCCACTTGTCCATTTAACAAATTCAATTTGGAACCTTTCGCTGTCACAATTATTGCATTAATATTTTCCAGTGTTATCTTGTTGGCGTTCATTACACTTTCCATATTCTTTAATATCACTAAAATGTATTATTTATAATAAGTTATTATTAAACTTCTATATTAAAAAAAATTGAATTAATTATGAATCTCAATACATACTTGCTATAATAGAACTAAATATACATGCAATTGATTAAAATATGCTCTTTTATGTTAAAATATTGATTTTAATTATTATAAATTAAATAAAATTAAATATTCACCTTCTGTAATATAATATGGATGCAATAATTGATGATTGATAAATAGCCAGCGACTTTAATATCAATAATTATATAAATTCAATACTGACGGGGCGGGATGTGATAAGATATGCATTAAATTAATTAGTAAATTGATTAGAAAAGTGACATTTGAGTTAATTAATTTTCTTGAAATTTTAATTTAAAATGGTTATATGAATAAATGAAAAAACAGGTATATTTTTTGGCAACAGGACAGAAAGGATGATTCGTGGAGATTATTGGCTAATTATTGATCATCAACATTAGTAAAGGATTATTGGATGTTAAAATAGGTTGAATAATAATTTTAATTATTATAAATAAATCTAAATATACTAACTACACCGTCTGTAACAAATTACAATACAAATTATTTAATAAAAGATTATGAAATATTATTATTAGATGTTAAAATAGTTAGAAATTATGATTTTAATTATTATAAATAAATCTAAACAATACTCGCATCAACAACATCCTGCGATTAAATCTAATGTGATTAATGATTTTAATAAATGTTAAATTCTGATTTTAATAATTAATTTTTTGTAACATTCATAATAGTAACAATTCTATTATCCTTTAAACAACACTAACATGGTCCCATATCATGCTATTAATATTCAACAAAAATCTTTATAGGAGTGACATAAAAATGATTTTAATACTCACAAGTTGTAATATTATGTACACGTGATAATATGTAGATCCATATTTATTTTAAAAAATCATTTTATTAAATAAAAAATAATATTTACAAAAATTTAATAACAGATAACAAATAATAAAATAATAAAATAATGTAATGTTTAATTTCAGTTAATGAATCATTGAATTTCAATTTTAATTTTCAAAAATAATTTCAACATTTCATCATCTTTTCCTTCCCACAATTCACTTTTTCTTCTTTTATATTCAAGTAATTCATCTTTGGTAACATTTTCATTCTCACATAAACTAACAATTAATAATTTATTTTCTTTATCATAATTAACCATTTCATCTTTCAGCATTTCATTTCCTAAGTAAACTTTAATTTCTTTAATTTCGTAAATCTCATTTTTTCTTCCCTTCTCATTTATCACATTTAAATAAAATCCACATTCTCCATAACCGATTAAATCTACTTTATAAAACATTATCCCTTTCTTAGAATTTTCTTTAATTTTAATGGATGAGATGATTTTCTTATTATTACTATTATTATAATTATAATATTCAAATCCTTCACTAACAAATTTAGGTAGATTACCATCGACAATAGCTTTAGATCCATTATATTTATCAATTAATCCAAAACATGCAATTTCCACTTTTGCTACTGTTGTCATTTCTGTTACACCTGTTTCATTAATGAATAAAATATCCATAGGTAATATCGTTACAATCTCAAAATCAAAAGGTTTCACCATTATTGAAATTTGTTCTTGTAAATTCGTTTTTCTGATTTTATAAGTTTTCTTATTCTTGAAAAAATATAAAGCATATTTTCCAACTTTATTATCATCATCATCATTACCATTTTGCATACCATTAAGATTTTTAATGTTATCAGTTTTATTGATGTTATTGATGTGATTGATGTGATTGATACCATTGATATTATTGATGTGATTGATATCATCATTAATTTTAATTCTGTAAATATCATTAATTCCAAACTTATCAACAATTTCATTATTTCGACAATTCCATAATCCAAGTATTCCAATTCTTTGATTATTAATGTTACTAATCTTTAAAAGTTTATTGACTTTTGTAACATCATCAAATAAGATTGATAATGATGGTAATTCGGGATAATCACATCGTAAAATTCTTTGTGAATAAATCTTGGTGAATCTTTGAGAATTAATTGGTAAATTATCATTACCATTATTATTACCATTATTATTATTATTATTATTATTATTATTATTATTATTATTATTATTATTATTATTAATTGGAGAATTGATTATTTCAAATGAAACAGATTTAACAACACATCTTTTCAATATTTCAACATTATGTTGATTTGGTGGATCGGAAATATAAATGGGACCTCCACTAATTGCTCTCGAGGCTGCATGAAATTCACCAAATTGATGATTAGATTGAAACATATCCCTAATATTAAAGAATTAAAAAAAAAATTAATTATAAATATCATTATTATAAATTAATTATATTTTTTACCTACCAATCGGGTATACAATTTAATAAACTTGTCCAAATATTATTCATTGTATTTACATAAATATGCCACGGATGCGAATCATAAACATGTGGAAAAAAGTCATCACTATTTCTTAAAATTGGTTTATATTTATCTATATCTTCTTCTTCTTCCACTACTTCATCATCTTTATTTTTCTCCCTCTCATCTTTATTTTCCTCTTCACCTACTCCTTCTTCTTCATGGTCATTATCTTTCATTAAAATCTCTTGCATAATTTGAGGGCTATGTGACATACAATAAATTATTCTATTTTTAAAATATTTCTTATTTCCTTTCCTCAATGCTTTAAGGTAATCTTTCCACCATTGAATATGTTCAATTTCATTACTTTTAATAGAATCAAAACTAGCTAAATGATCAACTTTAATTAAATTAACTCCTTGAGATGATAAATATTTATAAAAATCATCATAAAAGGATTTAATAAATTTTGAAGTAATTATATGAATTGATTTATCATCATCATCATAATCATTACCATTACTATTACTATTATTATTATTATTATCACCTTCACCTTGTTGTCTAATTTTTTCAAATTGATATAAATTAAATGAATTTGAATTTAAATCAATTCCATTCCAATATCCCCAAATTGGATGCCACACACCAAATTGTTTTAAATAAAAATATCTTTCTTTAATATTTTGAATTAAAGATTTTAATCCATTGGGAAATTTTTCATTGGCTTCAAAACTTTGTAATGTTTTATGAGATTGATTAACTTTTTGCCATCCATCATCAAGAATTACGTAACCAACATGAATTCCAGATGAATCCAGTGATTCTAATGCATTAAGGAAATCTTGTTGGTTTACATTTTCGTAAAATCTAAATAATAAAAAAATATATATAATTAATATAAAGATAAATCTAAATTAAGAAATCTAATTAAATTAAAAAATCAAATTAATTCAATTATAAATATATATAATTAATTAATAAATACTCACACATTCCAAGTACAATATCCAATTTGATCATAATAAGCAAGATTATTATTTCTATTTAAATCTTCTTGTAAAGATTTAATAATTTCTCTTGTTTTACTTTCTTCACCACCTTCAATAAATTCTAATAATATACTCTTACGTCTCTTTTTCTTTTGTTGCTTTTTAATTTCTCCTAACTTCTTCTTCTTACCTTCTAAAACTTTTTCTTTTACCAAAAAATCCATACATGCCTTTGAAATTTTATATGGATCATTATTTTTATGATTATTTCCTCTACCTATAATAAATTTCGATGATACATCTTTACCACTAAAATTTTTAGTTATAAATAATAAGTTTCCTTGATCATCTGATCGAAAGCAACTAGTACAATCGTTGAAAGTTAAAGGGATCAATATAACGTAATGACCGGTAGATTGTTGAATGATTAAATAAAGAACATCTTTATTTTGAATATCAAGTCTTTGTGTTCCTGTAATAGGTGCCATCCAATAAACACTAAATGAATAATTAAATAATAATTAAATAATAATTAAATAATAATTAAATAATAATTAAATAATTAAATAATAGAAAATAATTAATAATAATGAATAATAAATAAAATAAATAAATAAATAAATAAATAAAAAATTACGTACGAAATGCGTTGTAAACCAAAGAATCTAATCAAATTCTTGATATTTCCAATAAAATGACAATCGGATTGACCATTTATAAACTTTGATTCTTTATCAATCATCCAACATTCAATATTTTCCTGGATTTGATAATATTTTACATTATCACCACCAAAAATGTTATTGTTATCACTAAAAATGTTCTTAATATTCTCTTCACCATCATCATAATCGATATTAATGTTATTATTATAAATATGATTATTATTATTATTATAATTATTATTTATTTTAGAATTCGAAATAAAAATGTTCCCATTCTCTTTAAATGAATTAACCCATTTCCAATCTTCTTCATAACCTTCCATTACTCTTCTGAATCTAAAACAAAATTCGTACCATCCTTCATTAATATCTAAAGTGGGAAGATTTAATTCAAAAACACGATAATTTCGATTATTTTCAAATCCGACAATAAATTTGTTATCATCATGATCACGTATTTCAATTAATTCAATATCTTTCCACTGTTTCCGAATTAAATTTGACCAAAGTTGAACAGAAAGTTTTTGTGGATATGCAAAAGGATCGTCATATAAATCATTTAATATCCAAACTGTAAATGTAATTTTATTTGGTCGATGAATGAATGTGGTGGTAAGAAGATTTGGATGAACGAATATTTTCATTATTTCAATATATAATCAAATTATCACTTTTTTTTTTTAATTTTTTTTAGTTTTTTTTTATAGATTTTTTTTTCTCAGAATATTCTTTTAGTCTAAACTCCATTTTGATTCATATTACTCATGTTTCTTATTCAAAAAGTCGTATGTTTATCAAATATAGTATATATCGTAAATTTCTATAAAAACCGGTTTTTTTTTTTATTGCATGGCGTGATTTAAAGAGAGAATATATAATAACCAATTTAAAGGGTAGGATGATAATTTTAAAGAATATACAGTCACATAAATCCTCGTTATAAACATAACTTTCGTAAAGACCAATTATTAATGTTATGTAAAAAAAAAAAACCTCTATATAGTCACTTTTTATTTTTGATCCAAGAGAGGTGATCAAATGTGAATGTAATTATTTAATAATTTTAAAATACAATTCTCTTGAAATTTACAACTAATTTTAATATTTTGATCTTTTATTTCATCCACCAAAATAATTTTTTCATCATTTTGAATTTCTTGTTTACCTTCATGAAAACTGATGTGTAGCATATCTTTCATTATCTGATAATTATTAAATTTTACTTCGAAATATATGTTCGAACTAACATGTTTATAAGTATCAAATGTAAAACAAATAATTCTTCCTTTTCCATCTTCATCAGAGTCATCATAATAAAAATCTGTTACTTTAAGTTCAAAATATTTCGCTGTCATATAAGGAAAGACCTATAATTATATAAATAATAAATATAATAAATATAATAAATATAATAAATATAATAAATAATTATTTTAAAACACATCATGGTGCCAAACACCACAATGATCGATATTAATTAGGTTAGGGTTAAAGTTATGACTAAAAAATAGGTTTTGTTTTGTAAAATTTTGCAAGGATCTTTTTTTTTTTTTTTTTTTGTCTCGAAAGATGATTTCATAATCAAAAATGAAAGTTACAAGCAATTTTTTGAATTTTTTCTGTAATCTAGCTATTGATTGGTTAAAGATTAAAAAATCTTATTGATTAAATTTCATTGGGCATCGTCCTAATTATAATTATAATATAATAATTAATTAATATTTACATTAAAACCCCATTTATCTTTATAACTCATCATTTCATCCTCGATAATAACTGATACCAAGTTATGCCACTTCCTGCAAACCTCACGCAAGATAACGAATTTCCGAATTCTATTTTGACAAAAATTAATAATAATATAAAAATTTAAAATAAGAATAAATATTAAGAATAAATATTAAAAGAATTGAAATTAAAGAATCAAGATTTAAAGAATTAAGATTTAAAGATTTTTTGTAAAATAAAAAATATCTGATATTAATATGATAAATAAATATATAGTTTATTTTAAATTTTTACTCACCTTACAATTTGTCTTACTTCACTAAGAATACGAATAATAATTTCATTTGGTATATTATCAAACATTTTATTATTATTTTTTTATATTTCGTAATCTCTTTCCATATGTGTGATGGTGATAATAAAGGTCAACGTGATTAGTCAAATAAAACACACTTCACTTGTAATGTTGTTGTTGTATAGCATATCACTTAGAATTACTTAGTTATTTTTGTTGTATTGCAAGAAGTAGAAGATAAAACTTTATTATTTTTTTTTTTAATGTTCAAAAAGTATTATTCAAAGTATCGGGTATTTTTTTTTAAACCCAATGCTTTTTATATCTGATTTGTATCACACAAATTATTAAGTGTTTTGGTTATTATTAGATTTTATTATTATTTAATTGAATTTCATGACCTGACCTTTACTATTAATATTATTAATATCATTGGATACAAATGAATGAATTAATGCGTAAAAAAAACATGTTTATGTTTATGTATATGCACTGCATTACGAAAAACCTGAATAAATTTTAGATAATATATTCGGAAAAATCTGATAATGATTTACAAGTATTATTATTAAGATTATTATCACAAAGGTTTTTTGGTATCTTAAATTGGTTGACCATTCTCGCATTTTTTACATGTCATTTTCAAAATTCGAGAAAGAAGATCAACGAATTTTCTTTTTTTTTTTTACTTTCATCTCGTCGACAATCATTGGTGAATTAAGGAAGATTAATTGGGACTAAGAATGAAGAGAATGAAAAAGATAGATAAATATATTAAAAGAAAGAAAGAATATCTGATACATGCCAAATTTATTTATAATACATTCCTTTTAAATTAGACAATATGTTTTTACGTTGATAATATTAGCAATAAAAAGTTTTTTTTGTTGCTTGGATGAATTTCTTTGTAAATTAAATTCTCATACAATTTTTACCTTTTTGTCAAAAAAAGAAGATTGTTTCATTTATTTTAAAATGATACAGTATTATTTGGATTCACGTGAAAAAGTAAATCATCAAAAAAAAAAAATTTTTTTTTTTTTTTTTTCGGCTAAGTTTAAATGTTTAAATAATTTAAAGTACAAGAATACATAATAGCTCTTTTTACAATCTATTTTCCATATTTATAAAATTATTATAATTATTATTGAATACTTCCGTTTTTTTTAAAAAAAAAAATGATGTCAATTCGAATCTTTTGAACCATTTTTCAATACTACAATACGATAGATCGCTAACGTGTTTTAAAAAATAAAATTCCGATCCCTTGAGTTTTGTTTATCCTTCTTATTAAAGTAAGTATTTCCCAATATATTCCATTTTCGTCGAAAATAGATAATTAAAAAAGGTTACAATTAATTAAAATAATAAACTAATAAGATTCATGCATTTTAGATGGAAACATGGGAATCGTAAAAAAACAATACAAATTTATGCATGCATTAAATTTCTTTACCGTCATCACAAACAACTTAATAACAATAACAATACGCAATTACCGCCAAACCTTCCCCCCCCCCCCCGAAACGCATGTAACAAAATCTATTACTTTAAAGGGAAGATGACAATTATATTTTACCCTGTTAAAATAGTCAGTCAAAATTAAATTTTTATTCATTATAAAAACTCGTTCTTTACACAAAAAAAAAACTCAAACTCAAACTCATTTATTCTTAATTTTCTTCTTCACGACCACAACGTTTACACAAAAATACTTTTAATAACACAAAAAAAAAAAGATAAACTCATTTATTCTTGTTTTCCTTCACAACCACATCGTTAAACAAATCTCTTAGCATTTCATTGAATATTATTATTATTATTATTATTTATACAAACAAACACACAAAATATAATAAATTAATTGTAATTTATTGAGCATAAAAAGAAAAAAAAAATTTTTTTTCTCGGTCTCCTTTCTTCAGAAAAATAAATATTATAGAAAAAAGTGACTTTTACTCTTAATTATTAATTTAATTTATTATCTTGATATATATTTTTAAAGTTTTAATCTTAATAATAATAATAAAAGGCTGGTTCCTTTGAGAAAGAAAAGAAAGGAAAGAAATTATAATATTTAATCATAATTATATTATAGTAATAGGTCAATTAGTTTTACATCATAAAATTGTTTTTATTTCGTTATCGTCGTTACTATCACAAAAATGAGTGGAGTAGTAACGGGCGATCAACAAGCCCAAAATATTTCGTTAACGGGAATGTATTCTCAGTTAGGAATAAATTTTGCTATTGGAGTTGGAACATTGTTCGTGTTTGGATTTCTTAGACCGAGGAATGGAAGTAAGTATTCACAATTTTATTATATTATATTAATTTATGAAAAAAACTACATTTAACCTGAGGGAAAATTAACCGGTGGGCAGAATTAAGTTAATGTTGGTAGGGTTAGGGTTAGGGGATTGACCAGGAATTATGTAATTCTGCCTACGGTGAAATTTATTATCATTAATAATAATTAACCTTTTGAATTTTGAATTTTTTTTTTTTTAGTTGTATATGCTCCAAAACAAACATATGTCAATGAAAAGTGAGTTATTTTCTTTAAGATAGAGATCTTTTCATTTTTGTTTTAGTTTTATTCACAGTTATTTATTTTATTTTTTATTGTTTTTTGCTATTCTTAAGAAAACAACCACCTAAACTAGAGAATGGGTTATTTTCTTGGATTAAACCAGTATTGAATACTCCAGAATCATTATTAATAGAAAAAATTGGTTTAGATTCTGTAATGTTCATACGTTTTATAACCATGTGTCGAAATTTATTCTTTTGGTTATTCATATTGGGTTGTGTTATTATTGTGCCAGTAAATGTCTACGGAACTCTTCAAGATCGAGGAAGCCTTCCTTCAACTGATAATCCCTTGGCAATTTTGAGTATCTCGTTTTTAAAAAAGGTATCAAAAAATTTTTTTTTTCTAAATACATATATAAAATAACTTTCTAATATATATAAAATTTATTATAATTTAGTCAAAATGGTTCTGGACTCATATAGTATTAACCTGGGTGTTCTCATTCATATTATATAAATTCCTTTATACTCAATACAAAGAGTACTCAAAATTCAAATTGGATTATTTTAATTCCGAAGAATATCGAAAATCCTTACATTCTCGTACATTACTAGTAATGGGTATACCTCAATCAATGAAAACTGATGAAGAATTAAAAAGTTTTGTGGATTCTTTGAGATTAAAATATCCAATTACTGAAGCTCATATTTCTCGTAAAGTTGGTAATTTAACGGAATTGTTAAAGGATCATGATGAAACTGTTAGAAAATTGGAAGGAATTTTGTGTAAATATTTAAAAGGTAAGTTTAAAGTGTAAATGTGATTAATTATTTTTTTTTTAAAAAAAAAAAGAAAGAAAAGAATTTTAATAAAAGTATTTTCATTCTACTTTAGATCCTGATAATATTCCTTCAAAAAGACCAACCCACAGATCTAGCCTTTGTAATGGTGCAGAAATAGATAGTATCGATCATTATACTGAAAAAATTCAATCCCTTGAACGTCAAATAAAAGATGCAAGAGAAACTTGTTATAAAACAAAACTTCAGAATTATGGATTTATTTCATTTGCAAATATTTCTCACGCTCATGCTGCTGCTAAAAAATTAGAAAAAATTTCGGCAAAAAAGTTGATGTCTCCAACATTTATACTTGCGCCTTGGCCTAAAGATATAATTTGGAAAAATTTATCAAATGTTGGAGCTGTTAAAGGTAAATAATATTTTTATGTTCATTCCCATTATTATTATTATTATTACTAACAGTCATTTATTTATAAAAAAAAAAAAAATAGGAACCAAAAGATTTTTAAGTTACTCTCTGTTCCTCGCTTTATGCTTTTTTTGGTTGGTTCCCGTTTCATTTATATCAACGGCTGCAAAAATTTCAAATATCGTAAGGTTGGCACCTGTCACGGCTAAAATATTTTACGCCAATCAGTTCATCACTGGTTTGTTAGAAGCATGGATGTCACCATTAATCTTGGCAATATTCTTTTTAATGTTACCTTCAATTCTAAGATATCTTTCCCGTTTTCAAGGGAAAATCACCAAATCTTCATTAGATAGATCAACTTTAGCAAAATTATATTTATTCTTCATATTAAATAGTATTATTATTTATACCGCCTCTTCAACTGCATTAGACATTTTTTCCAAGATTAAAGCTATACTTAATCAAAAAGATTCAAATTTCAAAGATATTTATAGTGTCTTTCAAAATACCGACATATTTGAACAAATAGCGGATTCCATGATTAGTGTTTCAACCTTTTGGATTAATTATATTTCATTAAGAGGTGTCGGAGTGATTTTTGATCTCGCACAAATTGCTTCATTATTAATTAAATTTGTCAAAGGATTATATGTAACTCAAACACCCAGGAATATAATGGAATACTCGAGACCACCGGATTTTGATTACGCAGTTTATTATAATATTCATTTGTTCTTTTTCACGATAGGAATTTTATATTGTGTAATAGCCCCAGTTATATTACTCTTTTGTGCTGCTTATTTTGCATTGGCTTATCTGATTTATAGATATCAATTAATGTAAGTGTTAAAAAAAAAAAAAAAAATTTCGTAAAGCAATCACCAAAACACGCGATATTAAAACACACCTTTTTTTTTATTATTCATTAGGTACGTTTTCACAACAAAAGTTGAAACCGGTGGAACTTATTGGCGTGTAGTATTTAATAGATTAATTGTTTCTATTTTATTCTGGCAATGTGTAATGATTGGAGTAATGAATTTAAAAGGTGCACATATACAGTCAATAGCAGTTCTCCCGTTACCAGTAATCACAATATTTTTAAAAATCATGTGTAGTCGTTCATTTGATGAGAAAATCCGATATGGAATAATTGACAATTCAAGTGAAGAAGAAAAAAATGAATTTATAGATGGACGTGATCAAGTTTCAAATCGATTTTTACATCCTTCATTGACCACCGAATTGATTGCACCAATGGTTCCCGCTGGAGCCAAAAGAGCGTTAAGTAAAGTATATCAAGGACGTATAGAAGAGACAACGGAAGAGAAAAGAGGAAAGATAAGAACTGTTTCAAGAATTATAAGTACAAGTGGAGCAATTAATATTCAGACAGTTGAAGATAATGATTGTCAAGTTGATGAATTGGCATATCTGGAAGAACAAGAACCGGGCTATTATGCTTATTATGAGGATAATCCTTCTTATAATTATCATTCATTTGATCAAAAAAATTATGAAAAATCAAACCAATTATTTGAATCAGAGAATAATAATAATAATAATTTTTCAAGTCAAATTCCTTTGGATATTAAAAATAATTATCTTGGTGATGGTTCACCATCATATCAAAATTATCAACCCTCTACACCATCTCCTTCATCATCTCAAATAACATTGAATCAATCATCGAATACACGAGAATATTCGTATTCGCAACAACCTATTTCTCCTCAACAATATTCTCCTCAACAATATTCTCCTCAACAATACGATTCACGTCCGATACCAAGAGGTGATGATGATGATGGAAATGAAGAAATGGAAGATATTAATATAAATGGAAATGATATTGATAATTTTGCTCGTTATTATTAATAGTGGGAAACAACAACATCAACAATAATAAACATATTAAACATAAATATTGTAAATAAAAGAATTCTAAATATTCGAATTCTTAGTTGGTAAAAAAAAATTATATATATATATAAAAGATAATAATAATAATCAATTAATGTAATAATTTCCCCGTTCAATGTATATTTTTAGAAAAACATGACATATTTTTATTTTTTATCTAAAAATATTGAATGCTTACAAAAAAAAATTTATTATGTATTTTTACTTATTTGAATATAATAATCATTTATTGCAAATTTTATTTATTGTCACTCGGTTTACTTCGATCTTTGATGAAAAAAAAAAAAAAAGTTATATTTATCGCTTTTTTATAAAAAAAAAATATGTTGACAATATATAAAGAAATAAATTATGCATTTTATGCATAAAGCGAATTTTCTTTTTAGGCGAATGTTGCTGCGGAGCGGATTGGTTACATGTACAAAATGGGACATTTATTAAAAGTATCAAAACATGATATGAAAAGTGTCTGATTTTAATACTATAGAAATAGAACAATAAAAAGATTTTCAAACGTTTTTATTGTTAAGCAGCAAAAAAAAAATTATTAATAACATTTAATAATGTGTTAGATTGTAAACTACTTTTAAAAGAAACATATTTCTTTTATTTCAATTTCATTATAAAAAAATAGTTTTGAGTGGATACAATTTTCTAGTTGAATAACATCTAATCTTGCAAGAATTATTGTATTTATATTAAATTTTTAGACTTAATAAAAAAAAAGACTAACTTTAGGAAAAGAAAAAAATTTGGCGAATTTTTTTTTTTTTTTTTTTTATTGATAATAAGCAATGCAAACATATGCAAAAATGGTCCAATAATATAAAATAAAGATTTGAAGGATTTGATGAAATCGTAAAATCTGTAAAATCTTAAATTTAACGTGTCTATTTTGACTGGAACCAATTACGAAACTATCCTGCAGGAGAAGAAATTAATGTTTGAACACCCGCAGATTGATCTTTTTATAACATAACATTGGTGTGTCGTAAATTTTTAACCCGGATGTCGTACAAACAAATTATTGAAACACGAGATACTGAACAAATTATATCTGGAATCTTGAAGGTTCCTTTTTTAAATTTGGCAAATTCTTTTTTTTTTCCCGAATAGATTAAATTTAAGCCAATTTTTTCTTTAAGTTTTTCTTTTACTGTATTTAAGAAATATGGAAAGTTAATTCCTACATTGAGTCACAATCTGCTAATAACATTTTTAATATATAATATATTTAATATATTTAATATCCATTTTGAAACGTGAAACAAAATTTATAAAACAGTAATTACAATAATTAAAGACATATTAACGGTTAATAAGTAATTGTTATACTACTTTCTAATACATATTTTCATATAATTTCATAAATTAAGTTATACCAATTACTGTTACCATGCATAAAATATTAAAAAAGAATGCTTTAATTTTGTTGTTTTTTAAGAAACATTTATAAAATAAATCACGACATTATTGAACAAATATGTTTTAGTAATAACATAATAAATGCGTACCATTTTTGCCAAATTCTGTCATTTACATAATTTTCCATAATTTCCATCATTTCACACGTTAAATAATCTCAATGACACTGTCTTACTTTATATTAACACACACAAATACAAAGAAATGAAAAAAGAGACCACCCGAAATTTACTTAGAAAATTAAATTCTAATCACGTGAAATACCATTTATGGAAAAATGAAAATGAAAATGACTCGATGCTCAGTGTGGAATGAAAAAACAAACATCGTATCCTACTTGATACAATATAATAATAAAGTAATAACAATAACATAATGAAAATTATATTTAACGTTACTCAAGCATTTTGAAACCTTAACTCGTTCCTTATTTCTTTAATGATCTTAAAAATATACACTTGTTATACTCGTAATATAAAAAAAATTGAATTTGGTTTTTTGTATCCCACATAAAGTAAAAAAAGTAACTAAAATAATCCCGATATTAATTCACACATATATATAATGAATAAATATTCTGCAATTTCTACATTTTACTTTCTTTTAATTTGTTCTTTCTTTCATCTTGTAATAAGTTAAACGACAGAAAGGCACAGGTTGTCTTTTCTTTGTCTAATAAGCATTTGTAATATATTAAAAAATAAACTAGCATTCATTTATATATAAATTACAATACTTTCCTTTAATTTTCCTTTGACGATTTTAGAAATTTCGTTTACAATATGATCTTTCATCGTCTGTTTTTTCTTTGCTCTTTTTTAATTTTTGCTTATAGCATTCAAGCAGGTAAAGTATCGGCATTATACGTTTCTAATATTATATTATTTTATTTTGATTATTTAACAGTTATAATTTAATTTATTTATTATATATATATATATTTATTTATTTATTTTTATTATAACAGTTATCTAATTTTAAATTGATAATTTATTTCATTTATTAACAACTTTTTTTTTTTTAAAAAAAAAACTTTTTTAATTCTTAGCAAAATTTATTAGAAATAGTCAATCTAATACGTGTTTACAACATTTATCAAAAAGTTCAACTGGTTCTTCATGTTTTTCTCTTTCCTCAATATCATGTCCAGTGGATAGATTTGGGGAAATTCCTGATTCGGTTAAATGGAATTTAATTCCAGTAGATCCTTCGCAAAATTCAACAAATACAACCGAAATTTTTATAAAATCCTTTGACAATCAATTTTGTGTCTCAAGTTCTTCAGGAATTTGTTCTTGTGATAATGATGACGTCAATCAAAAGTGGAAATATAATGGTGAAAACTTAATAAGTACCCAAAATGTAGAAGAATGCTTAAATAATAATTTTGTATTAACAAATTGTCAAGTTAACGATGGTTCGATATCGTGGAAATCTTATTATGTAGCACCCAGTAAGTAATTAGTTAATTAATTTTTTTATTTTATTTATTACAAATTTTAATATATATTAATTTAAATAAAATTATTTTTTTTTTAATTATTTTTAGACGCAGTAAATATTTATACAAAAACTTTATTCCTTGGAAATTTCAGTCAACTTTCCGTCGGTACTTATTCTTCGGAACAACTCCCATCTTCCATATTTTCTTCTCAATTTTCTTTCGAGGTACCACCAGGATTTCAATTTATAATTGATAATGGCAATGATAATATTAAAATTTATGAAAATGACATAGCACAATTCGATGAAATTGAAAAAGATTCAATCATTATAGTTAAAATTAAACCTGGAATTATAATTTATGAACAACCAACTTATTTTGGTGAAAGTAATTTTTTAGAAATGGGAATAAATTATTTTAATTCTTCTGAACAAATTATTGGTTCGATTATGGTACCTAATGAAATAAGGGGTGTAACTTGGTTAACTGAAAATTTCTTGGGTAATAATTTGGGATTATTTGAACCAATTCCCAATTTCTCTGGAGTTAACTTGACTTCTAAACAAATTTCTGCTAATGATTTAAGTATTTCTTCGAGTACATGTCAAGATGAATGTGGTTCTGGTGGTTATTGTTCAGGAAACAATACATGTACTTGTAAATCTGGATTCACTGGCTCACGATGTGAGCAATGTATACCTGGATTTTGGGGTCCAACTTGTGAAGGTATTTTTATTTTTATTTTTTACATACATAAATGCAACTTATTTTACTTATTCAACTTATTCAAACTTCTGTCGAAAATAAAACTTATCAAATATTTGTATTTTTTTTTTTTTATTATCTTTTATTAGCATGCTCTACGACTTGTGGAAGTCCTATTCAATTCACTTGTGATGATGGTGTATCTGGAACTGGCAAATGTAAATGTACTAAAGGATTTATGGGTGCTTCTTGTAATATTTGTGCTCCAGGATTTTATGGTGAAAATTGTCAAGGTATGTATAACTTTTTTTTTTAATAAAATATTATGTAATAAAAGTTTTACTACTATTGTTCGTGTTTTTTTTAATTTAATTGTTTTGCATTGTTCAGCCTGTGATTGTGGGACAGGTGGAATTTGTGATTTACAGGGTACATGTTCTTGTATTTCTGGTTGGGATTTTGACAACACGAACAAATGTAATGCATGTAAAAAAGGTTATTACCTTTCCGATAATGATTGTAAAGCCTGCTCACCAGGCTGTTCAGAATGTTCAAGTGATGGAACATGCACAAGTTGTCGTGATGGTCTTCAACTTTCTCCCGATGGGAAAAATTGTACACCCACTTCCTCTCCTCTCACTCCATGTTTAGCAACTCAATTCTTTGATGGCAATGTTTGCGTAAATTGTGACCCTTCTTGTGGTAGTTGTTATGCTGGTACCCCTTCAAATTGTTTGACATGTGCATCTCCTAATCTATATTTGGAAGGTTCTTGTGTTACTCCAGTAGGTGGAAAATGCACTATTCCTAGTTCTCCTTCACAAGTATTTTTTGCTGATAATACTAAAGGAATTTGTCAAGGTATGTAGTACCAAAAATTTTTATAAAAATTTTTTAATTTATTCGCGTGAAGTTATAAATTAAAAATTTTATTATTATATTATTTTATATATAGCATGCCCAAGTTCATGTACAGATTGTACCTTTGACTCAAATGCAGCACTTGTTAAATGTTCCAAATGTATGCCTGGTTATGTACTTGATAATGAACAATGCGTTAAATCGTGTCCAGCTGGAAAAGTCATTAATTCAGATGATAAAGCCACGTGTATAGGTAAGAATTTAATTTCATTTTTGACTCTAAAAAATTTCACTAAATCTGTCAAATCTAATATATTTTGTTCATGAATGTTATTGTAGCTTGTTCACCAAATTGCGCTACATGTGATGGTCCATTAATTAATCAATGTCTCTCTTGTTCTGATCCAAGCCAATTTTCTCTTAATGGTAGTTGTTCAGCAGAACCTTGCCCTTCTTCATACGTTACTCAAAACAATACATGCGTAAAATGTCATCCGGATTGTTTAGAATGTTCTGGTCCAGGAATGGATCAATGTACTAAATGTCCATTAAATCGTCCAATACTTACCGAGAAAGGACAATGTGTCGAATCATGTCCAATTGGAAAATTTGAAGATTCTACAACTGGAAAATGTCAAGCTTGTGATTCCTCATGTTCTTCATGTTTTGGATCAAAATCCGATCAATGTCTTGGATGTTCAGATATTTCTAAATTTTTACAAAATGGATCATGTGATAATGAATGTCCTAGCGGAACTATAATGTTAAGATCTGAAAGAATTTGTTATAATCCAAATGATAATACTATATTTCCAATAAAAAATAATGACAGTGATGATAATAATAATAATAATAAATTAAAATGGTGGAAAATCCTATTAATAGTATTATCAATAATAATTGTGATGATAATATTATTATTTGTAATAAGGTTTTGTGCAATCAGAAGACGAAGAGCCAAAACTGATAATTTCAAGGAACAATTTGATGAAGTCGCAGTAGCAAAACAAATGAATAATCTTATGAATAGTCCATCATCCACTAATTCATCAGCAAGATCGTCTATTAATGCTGCTGCTGCTGCTACAAAATTCAAACGAATGTCTAGACCCGAGATTTCATATGGAACATCATTAGAATCGGGATTACGATCACATGAATTTGATGTTGAAAAGATCTTCAAATTTGGAATATTTTCTAATAAAAAAAATAATAATAATGATGATAATAATAATAATAATAATATTAATAATAATAATAATAATAATAATAATAATAAAGATAAAAGATTACCTAGCACACCTACTTCACCATCACCATTAAGTCAAGTACTTTCAACAACCAAGGAATTGAATAGAGATACATTAACACCACCACCAGCTTATCATAATGAAGAAGGTTCATATTGGGATCAATATAAAACACGAAAAGCTACTTATTCCGGGAGAGATTATCTAAAATGGAAAAGTGGTAAAAAATTTGAAGATCATTTAAAGGTAGAAGGATCAAAAGAAGGAGAAGTTGATATATTAATACAGACCGGTCACCGAAGTTCATTAAGAAGATCAAATAGCAATTTAAGAAGAAGTGCCTTAGATTTTGGATTTGAAAATCAAGATAGATATAGTTCGGCTTCTAATAATACAAATGGAGCAGGAGTAGGAGGAAGTGAGAGTAATTATTTAGGTTCATATAGAAATGATAATAGTAGTAGTGTGTATAGTGTTAGTAGTTTAGGAGAACGTAGTAATAGTAGTATCGGAGGAAATAGTGGATATGATACAATCCTCGGTGCTTATGCGAGTAGTAGTAATGGCGATGCAACAAGTATGAATGCATATGGAAGAAATAGTAAAGTTTCTGTAATATCAAATGTTAGTAGCTTGCAAAGATCAAATACTGTACCCATAAAGAGAGATGAAACATGGGGTTCAAATTGGATTTAATAATGGAAAAATAAACGAAGCGAACAAAAAAGCAAATAGAAAGTTGAAGCAGTTAGTTTGAGAAAAAAAATCAAGCGGAAAGTTGAGCAAAAAAGCAAGCGGAAAGTTGAGAAAAAAAAAGCGAACAATGAATTGAACAAAAAAACGAAGCAGAAATTTTCTTTCATTCATATAGACACACACATTTGCATTGAAATCATTGAAATCATTGAAATTAAACACTGCACTGAAAAGTCATTGAAATCATTAGCATACATTTTTTTAATTTCTCCAATAAATTATAAACATACAATTTTCTCTTTTTATTCTTTTTTGTAAGAACAGCAAAACAACAATCCACAATTCTAACGTAACTTATTTTTTTTTCCAAAAAAAAAAAACAAATATATTTATATTGTCTCTCAGAATTAACACTATATCTTTCGAATTCTTTAATAAACCCTTCCCTTTATTTCCTTGTCAACAATTTATAATCGACTCGACTATTGACTGGATCAACATATTTTGAATGCTGTTTATTTTTTTTTAATTACTTCACTTGATATTTTTTTTTAATAATTCGAATTCGAAACCAAACATTAATGGCTGGGTTGTATAGAGGGGTAATGTAATATATATATATATATATTTAATATTTATATTTTTAGTTAATTTTATGTATATATATATATATAGTGGAGGTAAATGTAATGTAATATATTTTATTTTGTTTATCGAATTTATTGATTGGGTTGGATTGTATAGAAAAGTTAAATATTCATTCATAAAAATAATTTTATTGGGGGAATTTATTTATTTTTTTTAAAAAAGAAAAATTAGAATTCAAAGCAGTTTAAACTTTGAAAGTTTGAACTGATTACTAAAAATTAATTTTTTTGAATTTATTTTTTTTTTTTAAAAAAAAAAAATACGCATCTTATTATTTAGAGAAACCTTTGGCATTTTTTGCATTTCTTAAATTATAGTTTTTTTTTAGACGAAACCATTTTTTTTCAAATAATAAAAAAATGTACAAGAAATAAAAAAAAATTATAATATAAATTATTCTGTTACATTTAAATTGAGATCATAACAATGAACGTGAATTTGAATGTTCAGGAATCCCAAAGTTTGCTATTCAAATTATAAATAATAGTTACATAATTATAATTATCATTATTCGTTCGGTTGGAATATAAACAAAATAAAATAATTTTTTTTTTTCAAAATACAAATAAACATCGTTCGATTTCTAATATAAATAAACTGTAAATAGTAAATAAAATTAACATATCATATTTAGAAGTTTATCAATTACAGTAAAATCATCATTTAATGAACATTTGTTTCTAATTAAATCATAGGAGAGGAAAAAATGCATCCTTTACATGAATCTTTATCCTGAAAAATATATTGACGTTTAGCTTTATTAAGTATAGAATAGATCTTAAATTCTTTTGAATTTTTAATTTTGGCTAAATTCATAATTAAATGTACATAATTCCAGCCATTAAAAATAATTAAAAATAATTAATAATGATTAATAATAATTAGTAATGATTAAAATAATTAAAAATAATTAAAATAATTCCATAAAGTTAATGCTTGCAGATATTGTAAAAGGCTAAATTATAAAACGAGAATATTTTTTATTAATGCATTGATAATATGGATATGCCCCACCCGAAATACTGTATGTACTGCTGATATGATAAAATAATTCTGAATATTATGCCATGTACTGTGTAAAAATAAACTTCGAATACGCATTTATTTTTTTTTCAAATTTTAATTTATTCTTCCATATTTAGAACGAACCTTTGTTCCGAAAACAATTTTAGCGCAACTCCGGCGCGCATATTTCCTTTATTTCATTTATTTCTTTGAATGATTTTTTCACAAGGTATTTACCAATTCATATTTCAATATCCACATTTTGGTAGGTATATCAAGCAAATGAAATAGTTCAATGACTTCCTCTAACCGAATTTTTTCCTTACTTTAAATAAAAAAAAAAAATGGATGAAGATGATGTTATCATATATATACATACAGTATATTATATTTTATATCAAACATTTTATAATTTTTAATTTTAAAATGTATAACATTATATTGGTAAAGATCTGCAATTATAGAGAAAAAAAGTTGATAAAAATAGGTAATGTAATTTGTTACCTGTGCTACCTTTGATAAGTTATAAACAGTAAAGCCTTCCTTAAAATATATATATATATATCCTCCCTGAAAATTATTAAAATTTTTAAAAATTTTTACATAATTACCATAAAATGCTCAAGAAATTAAAGAAATTATTAAAACAAGGATTGAATGTAAAACTTTCTAATGAATTATGGATAATTATCTTTACCATATACCTCGAAGAATCAAAGTAAGTATGATGAAACTTAATATATTTTGGAAATTCTAAAATTTTGAAAATCGTGAGAAAAAAAAAACAATAAAATTAAATTATTTTTTAGTTTTCGAAAAATCTTTCAATTACGACGAACTTGCAAGCAATGGAATAATGTTATACCAATAGTAGTGAACACAATGATATCCAGGAATTGGAATGAAGAATGGGAAATTCGGGTATTTATTAAAATTTATATTATCAATTCGATAATTATTTCTTCGTTTCAATATTATAATAATTTTTATATAATTTTTATTATATTTATGCATTTTTTATTAGATAATGTCAGAAGACGAATCATATATTGATGTGAAATTTGTTACAGGCATACCATATTATGATGACTTTACGAATTTAGTATGCTTCATTAATCCTGTTCAATCATTTTTAATTGATTTCTCCAGAAATTATGTTTTCACTTTCACTTTATTCTGTAATGAACAAAAAGTAACCGAAACAGAGCATTATATAGATGTAATGGGTGAAAGCGTTGGAGAAAAAGTATATTGTGATTTAAATAATAGTTTTTATTGTATTGGAACTTTAGAAGAGGAATATTTTGATTTCATCTATTGGAAAGTTTCTCCTAAACAAGTTTTTGAAAAAATGGATAAACTATTTGAAAAAAGTAAATTATTGGGATATTAATATATTAGATATTTTAATTCACTTATACACTTTACATTATAAACCTTTACATTTTACACGTTATGTACACATTGTATACTTTATACGCGTTATATTACCAAATATGTTTTAAAAAATTAATTAGATTATGACATATTAACTTTGATTATATTTTATTACCTTGTACTTTTAATTTATACCAAAAAAAAAAAAAACTTTTTTAAAGATATTCATTCAAAGGTGTTAAATATCTATTTGACAGTGACTCAAGAAAATTATTATCATTTCTCTCTAAATTATTAATTATATTTGCAAATGTAATTTATAAATAACGCATCGTTTAACCTCGAAACTGAAGATACGTAACTAAAATTACAATTAATAATGAAACGAAACTTTTGATCTAAAATTAAAAGGCATACAATTGATAATAAAAATCACATGCATAGATAATAAACTATAATTCATTATTAAAGAGAGATCACCACATAACGATTATTTACTTAAAACTCTTTAAACGTCATGGTCCTATAAAATATAAGTGAAAATATCCCGTTTTCTAAGTTTTTTTTTTTTTGAAAAAACTTTTTAAAACTTCATAGTTAGAATAGTCAGAAATCTTTATCTTTACAGTTTTTGCAATTTTTAATTTTTTACATTAACTTCCTTTATCTATTTTATCTATGATGCAAAACAACTATTTCGTACATAGTGCTGCTGCTGCTAAGCAGAAAGTGAAAAGCCCTTCCAGACTCCTCGCTTGTAGTACCGTTCATCAAGCTACTAATTTTGAACTGGTCTACCCACCAATATCATAGATAAAAAAGTGCCTGAAAATAATTTTAACACTATAACAATAGTAATGTAGATATAGAAAATATATAAAGGTTAAATTTTTTTTTATATAGATTTGTATAAAAATTCAATGTAGAACCATATAAAAGCCGAATTTATATTTACTTATCAATTCTATATCTATGTAAAATGCATATCTATAGGCTTATAGATAGGGTACGGAATGGGCCGGGTTGGTCCGGATTGGACCGGGCTTACCTAAATTAAAACCAAGACCGAATAATATTTTTAGGCCCGATCTGGGCCAAAACTTGGCCCGGCCCATACAGCCCACTAATTTATATGAAATGTAGCCGATTTGATTGTCGCACAGGTTTAATATGTATTATATACGTTACGTTTTGCATTTAATGCATATTTATATTAAAAATACTAAAAATAACGCATATTTTATCATTATTATTTTTTGTTGATATAAAATCTTTCTATTTTTAAATTTTAACCGCGTATTTTACTATTATTATTATTAAATTATTATTACTATTATTATTATTATTATTATTATATTATTATTATTATTTTTACTATTTTAATTATTATTGTTATTTTAATTAATTAGATATAGCAATTGACCAATATGAATAAAATATCCTATAATTTGCGTGACAATTATAAACTATTTTTTCTCGAATCTCTTTTTTAAAAATTTTCTCGTTCTTTTTTAATCTTTAATATCCAAAACAATAAGTCTATATTTATTTAATTGAATTAGTTCATTTGCTTCTGGATACTTTAACTAAAAAAAAATTTTACATAAAAAAACTGTTTATTATGTACCATCCTTTAGTTTGTCCAGTCTTGTTCCTTTGCACCTCTCGACTAATCTTGACCACATATTAATGTTTCAACAGTTTCCGGAGTAAGATTTGATCGATAGTCATTAATAATTCTTCCTGCCATACTAAATATCTAGAGTTGTTAATGGAGTATTATACTCCGGAGCAACTTCAGGTTATAACCCACTCCATTATGAAGTGGGTTAAGAATTTCAATTATATAGTAACCTGGGTTATAATTTAATTATATGTATACTTAGCACCTGTTATATGATTTACATTTCTATATATAATACAATAAACCAGAGCTGATCATTAATTGGCAATCTCACATGGTGCATACTCTATATATATTTATTAATACCAATTACCAATATGTATATTTTTCTTGAAAATGATGTGTTTTTTACCGTATTTTTTGCCACGCGGTCAGTCTTTTTCTGTCGCGTCTTCGTATCACTAGTACAAACTTATAAGGACTTCAAACGCGTGTTCCTATGTCTTTCACCAATCTTGTTATTTTACATATTGTCTTTTCGTTTTTTCGTTTTTCATTTCCAACATGACCAGCACGAAATCTGCAGAAAAAGGCTCTCAATTCGAGGCTCGTACTTTCAATGAATTACAATTGATGAACTTGTGTGTTACTCGCACTAGGTGAGACATGTTTCATATTTCACTAAGTAAATTGTTGGTTGTATACACCTGAAGTTACGCCGTCACTAGGGTAATGAGGTAAAGGAGAACTGGAAGCGCATCGCGGCCACTGTAGATTACGAGTCGGGTAATAGTTCAGTGAACGTCCTTCTCCGCTTAGCCTTAATGCTCGAAAGCCTTTATGGTTGTGATGAATAGGGTTTATGGATAGAGTAATCTAGGTCCGACTCTAGGATATTTCGTTCTCGCGATAACAACATTTACTTATTCTTGTTTCTCTCTTCACTTGCAGGGTCTCATGTGGAGACAATGGCGTTGATATTTTTGGTCCTTACAGAGGACATATCCTTCTAGTTCAATGTAAGAATTACACTGCAAAGATAGGTAAAGACGATATTAGGGCATTTGAGGGAGTTCTCTCAAGGTAACTCTTTTGAATACCTGAAAATTTTATTTAAGATTTTCGTTACTAAATCAGATTTTCCTAGATATCCTAAGAACTATACTTTTGGAGTCTTTGTTGTATCTATCAGGGTCGGTTACTCCGATCCAGCATTGCTACATGAAAGGAATTCACCCTATAAATTACTGTTGACCAACATCTACGATTTACAGCATGACCTTTCAAACTACCCCTTCGAGAAAGTGCTGAGAACGTCTTAGAGGAGATTCTGAAGAAATTAGAGGACGTAGAAAAAGGAGATATGTGGGAGCAGTTGTTTCAAAAATTGGAAGACAAGGAGAAGGAGATAAAAAGCTTATTCGGTTGGATAAATGGATAAAGGAGCGAGATGGACAGAACCGAAATCAAAATAACAGAGACATTTCTTATTTCTTTTTAGGAATGATAACAACATGTATATTACTTTTCTTATCTAGATATTGTTAATATCTTTTAATAAAATTATCTGCATCCAATCCGAATAGTAAATGTAAAGGCATAATTATGACCACATGGAATTGCTCCCTTGGGGCTCCATGTCACATGCATGTGGATTAACACACAATTATTAACACGAAACACAACAAATAATTTCATAACTTTATTCTATGAAAGATATTTTTTACAATATAAGGCCGGCCTATATAGATAGAAACGTGGGAGTAGAGACAAAGAGGGAGGAAGCATCTCAAGCCCTAACCCATAAAACGAGAGCTCCTTTCTCTGCCTCATGCTAGCTATCATTATTATTTTCATTACTATCATCTAAAATTATATTTCTACAATCACTACTTAAAAAATTATGTGTTGGTAAGACACTAGCTCCACTATTATTTCGGGAGCTACTGCTGCTATTAATAACAGAGTTATCTTTTTCCAATTTTCTTTCTCAATCCAAGTTTCAATTTTATCTGATAAAGTTGTTAGTAGAGATTTTTGATGATGGTAAAAGGTGGCAAGTGTAACTGGACTAAGTCCTATTTCTCCAGATAAGACATATATTTTCATGGGAGAACATTTTCCTTTTTTTCTTCTCTCATCAAATAGGGTGGTAAATTTGATCCAAAGAGTTTGAGTTTCTTCGGGATATTCAGATTGGTGGCTCTGCACAGATACTCGCCCTAATAAAGAAAATATGTATCATATTAATTAACATGTAGAATACATGCTAAACTTGTAATCTTGACTTCAGGCTTCACTTCTCTATTCAGACTCAGTGTGCATTTGTGTAATTTCATTTTTTATAGCTAAAATATCTCATTCAAGTTTTTGCATTTTTTGATTTGCTGGAGACAATATAGGTAATGGGGTCAGGGTTGAAGATATGTTTTTTCAAATGAATATAAGTAGAATTGTGAGAAAAAAGTATATTGTTATATTCTCTTGAGCAATTGTATAAAGTATCTCCATTGTCAAGATGTCCCAAGCATATAATTCACAGATCGCAATAACGACAATAATAAAAAAATATCAGATGTATTGTATACCATTTGCAGATAATTCTTTCACAATGGGTAATTTGATATGTTTGTTTATTTGTTTGATTTATTTATTGATCATTTTAATATAGCAATCCCTCATCTATAATTGTCCCATTTTTATACATCAGATCTTGTCATCAATAATCCACTTATAGAATAAGGACGCTGTCACCGGTGGTCCTTGATTTTCTCAAGAACCACCTGATGGTGTGACTTAACGGTTCTTTTAAGGAGTTTATAGTCCTTTCCCGAAGGTAAGACTGTTATTCCATTATTTTTAGAAGGCACCACTGATTCAATTATTTTAGAAAGGGAATCAGACCTTTCATCCATTTTATTCCAATATCTTTTCGAGTTCGTCATCATCCTTAGTATTAATATTTATCCATTAATCTTCTTTTAATTTTTATCAACTTTAAATATTATTTTCAATTATCCAGGTTAATTATTATTTCAAGTCCAGGATTTATTTTAATAGTTTATAATTAATTTCATTAACTCAGGAATAATAACATTATACAATTATACAATCAAGTATTTAATCCCATA